GAAAGCTCGGGCCATCACATCAACATCTAGCTCAGCTATGCGATCTTGGGGCATGGTCTAGTAGTGCAAAATAATGCTCCCATACCGCACCTTGTCAGAAATGGTAGGTTCCATGCCTATCGCAGCTCAAAGACTCTCATACAGGCCCCGTCAGTCCAGAGTCCTCAGTTGGTCATCAAATGCAATGGACCACCCTCCAAAAGGTAGTCCAATAATAGCAGCAAAATCCACCAGCGTGATCATCATCTCGCCGAACGGTAAATGGAACGTATGAGTGGTGTCCATCCATTGTTCCATGAGTGCTATGATGCTCGCCAAGACTATCTGCCCTTGTATCCGGGGTAAGTGTCGACGAAACGGCCGAACCCCACCTCCTGGACCCGATCCTGAATTTGAGGAGGTAGCCGGTCGAACCACTCACCCATTGTATAAGTGTTGCCGCCCAGATTCCTGCGCTTCACGCTCTTCTGTAAAAATAAACCACTATAAGTAGGCTAATAAGTGCGAAGGCACGTGCTTTTATGTTTTCATGTAGGAAAATCGAAGAAAAGTGAGAAAATATCTAAGCAGGGTGTTCCACAAGCTACTATGGCGCCAGTCACTGAGTAGTGGCACAAGGCACTACTCAAGTGGCATGGGCCACTAGTGCTGTGGAGCACACCACAGAGCAGTAGAGTAAAACTAGTTTGCAAAGATGTGGCGCATGGCGCATGCCACAACGTTGCACCACAGGCCTAAAAAAACCTAAAAGCCTAAAGAGGTAAAATCCTAACTTATTTTTGGTTTTTAACCTACTGTTTGCATGTTTTTGTTCCTAATAATGCAGGAAAAATAAAAAGAAAGGTTTTGGAATACCTGGGTCAAGGCCCAACAGACGTGGGATGATAAATCGTGCCGCAGGCTAATTGTAGTCCCTGTGTTTGAAATAAACTCCCAAAGCTTCATTTCGTAACTCACAGGTCGAGTGACGGGCTCGATCACAGCATCACCTGGCAACCAGTCCACAACATTCTCAGCGGCCATGAGCTTTGGTTGCAAGAAGAAGCGAAGAGAGAGTTTAAGAGAGAAGAGAGGTTTGAAAGTTAGGTTGAAAGTGACAAATGAGTGTCACTTTCGCCTTTCATAAGGAATAATGGGCCTCTAGGCCCAACTTAAGCCTTTATGCTCGGTTTAGCCTGAAGACCTGCATGCTATGTCCAGCTCTCATACTCAAACGGCAACCCATCAATGGCTAACTGCCTAAGCAGAGACAACACACTGCTGGCCATAGGTAAGTCACCTCGTTTTGTGCGCTGCGACATAATTTCTAATAAATTTAACACGAACACACATGAATTCACGCATAATCAAACTTACACAAATCCACGTGAACTCATGTAAATTCACGCATTTTTATGTAAAATCACGTCATACGTGCACGCTTTTCTAGGCCTAATAACGAAAATTTCTAATCATAACCAGCCGAAGAGCCTCTTTCCCTGTATTGTAAGAATTGTTTTGTAGGTATTTCTCCTGAGTGGAGCATTTTAAACCATAAGCCGTCCGAAGTGGCGCACCTCCTGAAGCATAATTTTCCAGTTTAAGCCGTCTGAAATGGCGCACCACCCGAAGCAGAGTTTTCCAGTTTAAGCTGTCTGAAGGGCGCACCTCCCGAAGTGGAGTTTTTTTCACTTTAATCCGTTCGAAGTGGCAAACCTCCCTAAGCGAAGTTTTCCAGTTTAAGCCTTCCGAAGTGACGCATCTCCCAAGGTAGAGTTTTTCTAGTTTAAGCCGTCTAAAGTGGTGCAACTCCTAAGGTAGAGTTTTTCTAATTCAAGTCATCCAAAGTGGCGCACCTCTTGAAGCAGACTTTTCCAGTTTAAGCCGTCCGAAGTGGTGCATCTCTCGAGGCAGAGTTTTTCTAATTTAAGCCGTTTGAAGTGGTGCACCTCCTGAAGCGGAGTTTTTCAAATTTAAGTCGTCTGAAGTGGCGCACCTCCTGAAGTAGACTTTTTCAGGTTAAGTCATTCGAAGTGGCACACCTCCCGAAGTGGACTATTCCAGTTTAAGCCGTCGAAAGTGGCGCACCTTCCAAAGTGGAGCATTTCAGAAACCGAGTCCACCGAAGTGTCGTATTCATTCATCCATTGCAGCCATCCAAAGTGGCGCACCCTTGAAGCCATCCTATGTGGCGCATCTCATTCTGCCTCTCACCGTCTGAAAGGACAACATCCCGAATTGGAGCATTTCAGAAACCGTGCTGATCGAAGTGTCGTACTCATTCATCCATTAAAGTCTTCCAAAGTGGTGCACCCCTGAAGTCATCGACAATCATCATGGCACAATCCATCCACCTGTCAAATACCGTAATGGTACCGGGTCGACTGAAGTGTCGTACTCATTCATCTGTTAAAGTTGTCCAAAGTGGTGCACCCCGAAAGCCGTCCTGTGTGGCGCATTTTATTGCCTCTCACCAAAGCCGCCAACTGGCACAAGATAGCCACAGAAGTCATTGACAATCACCATGGCGTGATTCGTCCGCCTATAAAATGTCGTAATGGTACTGTAAGTCCCTTAGGGCAGGTTTTCAAGTCCACATCAACAATGTCGGCAGAATGGCGCACTTCATCCATCGAAGCCGTGCATGCCACGCAACAAAGGTAAGTATTTTCTTATTTATGCGTTTACTTTACACTTTGATGACATTTGGTTTGAAAAGCAAAATATTATCAAAGTGGGGGCAAACTGCAGACACTTAAATTTTTGCCCCTAAAAGGTTAAGTGATGATACACCGTTTTTCGCATAAAACTAGATCGAGATTCTCGATCGCCCTGGTTTTTGGACCGATGGTCCATGGTTGAGATTACTGATGTGTTTAACCACTTTTAATTTTTCGGGTTATTAGGAATATCGCTAAGAAATTGAGTCTGAGAAGCGTGCTAGGCCCGCCCGATGCATTTCTCGATGCACCACCTCATTTTGCATGGCACCTGGTCCAATTTTGTAAAAGCGAGCCCAGTCCCGTTGCGGGGCTCGACAGGGGCATTTTTTGCCACATCAGGCTTGTAGACAATCAAAACCCCCTACAGACAATCTAGAATCCTAAAAACATAAACTCTAATCTCGAATTTATGGACATTGTTGAAATAAAGAAATGGTATGAGCATTTTGTTGAAATTGATTCCACAAGAAACTATGAAGATGTAAATAGAATTAGCATTGGCTTACCAGTCCTGCTCTAAACAATGCTTAGGATTTTCATTTGCTATGCATATGTGATGAAATGAGTAAAAAAAAGGGGGGGGGGTTGGAGAAGCTGGCATTACAGCAAATTCATCCAATGACACAACTATGTAAACGTCATCATTCTCGCAGAGTTGATATATGGTCCTGCAACTAAATAAATGGTACAAATGTCTAATATTCTTGTAATTATATTTTTATTGTGGGATAATTACAGTATTGGATAGTAGCAGAATCTGGGTGAAATTTAACATAGAACAAACCATTCTCAGTTTTCCCTAACATCAATCTTCAGTATGCAACTGTGAAGGATAGGAATTGATGTTTAAAGATAGAAACAACACTTTTCGAAACTAAAAAATAACTACAAATAAAAAGTTACCTCAACTTAAATGACAAAAGATTGCCCATCGAACTTGATGCGACGCAGCAAATGATTCGTAAGATCAGCACCAGAGGTAGATTTAGAAGTGGGGACTCTTGAACCCTTTTTATGTGTTTCATTTTGGAATGATAAAGCTTCATTCTCATCAAAATCTCGGACGAGTACCCTTTGTCAAATTTGGCCAATGAATGCCTAGACTGTAAGTGATCATATATATACAGGCAGTTTCATGTTTTACTGTACCATGTTGGTAGTTGAACTCTCATTATTGACTGATTTTTTTTTAAAAAAAAAAAAAACAAATGGTCGTTGCTAAGCCCAATTACAAAACTTTGTTATTGTAAGTAAGCCTTTGTTGGTTGGGCCATACATTTGGGATGCCTGAACATGTAGTCAATTTATTTTGTTAAAAACAAAACCCAGGCCTTTAGTGGTTGGGCCAATACGTTAAGGAGAGCCAACAGTCCAATTAATTTGTAAAAAAGCAAAACCCATGCCTTTAATAGTTGGGCCCATATGTTTAGGAGGTCCAAAATGAAGCGGTCAAATTATTGCTGCAGATTAATGCTCCCAAGCCTTTTAGCGCTTGGGACGTATGCAAACAACCATTCGATGGCTTTGTGATGTAAACAAACCCAAACGGCCTATATAAACACCAAACTATGGGCTTGAATGAAATCATACATTCTAGAATTCTGGTTGAGCCTTTAACATTTCGCAAGTCCAGACTAAATGGCAATTATTTAATAAACAAAGAAAAAAACAAAAAATAAACAATCCAGTCTATATTCCTGAGTAATGCAATGTGTTTTACACTTTCCCTTTCATATACGAAGGAAGGCGATAGGACAACTAAATTTGTCAAAAAAAAAAAGTACTGACTGAAGGTTTCATACCATTTAGGGTCTAAGGAAAACAACCAACGTATAGCCAAGTCTAGCCGACTCTATGGTTCATAGAGTCATTATCCTTGCCATTTCTTGAATCCTATTTGACACTGGCAAGGACATCTGATCAGTAGTTTTTTAATTCAAATATATGCTATATACAACAGTCTTCAAAACATACTGTAGAAAATGGACTCCTTTTTGACATGGACTATTTCGAAAACATTATCATCTTTCATGATCATGTTTTGTGTTCAAAATTGATGATAGGATAAGTATTGAAAATTAATTTTTTTGAAAAATATAAAATCTTTACACTTTGAAAGACCAAAACAAAGTCCATGCATATCAGTCTGAAGCACATAAAACACTACATTACATACATAATTAAGGAATGCGAACTTAACATAGCATTAATCAAAATATAGTTTGAAAGTAAACATTTGCCTCATGAAGAGAACGAATAAAATATTTACAACCCAAATAAAAAAGGATGAACAAACTTGTTCTCAATGTTCATATTATAATAAACATATATATAATTATTAAAAATAAAGAGTTCGTTAAACCAAGGGAAATGCAGATCACATCAAAATGGAAGCTCCTCTCCATGGCGCAAAAGGGACACTTTTAATTGTTTATGACTAACCTGCATAAACACACAACAGTCCTCAAGTTTTAAACCATAAGCTCTCACCATTTTAGCTACGCCCTTCTCAAAGTGCGCTACATGAACTGCAGTCCCATCTTTCCTCCTGTGAGAAACCCTCACAAAATACACAACCGGAAACAGCCTGTTGTCGCCTGTTAGCCTGCTGAGTAAGAATGTCTGCCTCTCGTGGCCAAACAGTGCAATAGCTTCATGAGGCATCTCCTGTTCAATACTGTGGAGAGAAAAGTAAATGTAATTTAGCGTTAAAATTAAAATTTTAAAACATATTTAAAACAATAATGAAAGATAGTTATTTCTCATCACTTTATACCTCCACTCTGACTTCTTCAGATGCACAAAGAAAGTCAAACGGTTTTGTATTTCCTCCATATTGGCTGCAACGTAAACATTCAATTAAAAACGCAAAATTTAAAGATGAAATAAAGGAAGAAAGAACAGAAATAACAGTTTTAGTATGTTACTGACCTGGTATTTGTGCTATTGGCTCAGGCGCTTCATCTTTCTCCTCGCGGTTGAGACGAGGTACTGGCGCAGGCTCTTCATGTTTCTCCTTGCAGTTTAATCAGGCGTACTCAATCTCATCATGATCCCTGTCATAAATCCGTACTTTGAAATCCTTTGTAAATACGCACAACAGCTGTATCTCAAACCCAGGCTTCATTTTGTAGTACTCTAAGAAATCACCAAACCCATCCCCTTTCATAATGGCGAATTCGGATGCAGAATTAACCTCAACTTCCCACGTTTTGTCACCAGGTACACGAAGACGAAAAATCTCTTGATCCTCCATACTGGCCTCTCTCAAGTAAAGTATGGGGATAAACTGTGACGCGAGACAATTAAACAAACATTAAATATCTTATCACAAACAAATCAAGGAAAATGTTCAAAAGGCTCAGAAGGAAACGGAAAAACAAAGAACTAAATAAATTAATGAACCATAAGTTTGCGCTCAAGCGTGTCTCTTGTCACGATTCTGGCGCAACAACGGGTACCGTATTGAATTCCCAGTGTCATTTTCTTTTCTTTGAAATTAGGGTTTGCTCAGAGAAGACAATATGGAGTGATCGGAGAGTTACAAATATGGGGAAGATGGTGTCATCAAAAGGAGAGCCTTTAAACTGCTTAGAAGCAAATTAACCCCCTGTCACCAAGTACAAGATCATTAAATGATTATTTTGACTGACCGTGGCCTGGAAATATGGATTGATAAAAATTTCTAGGACCTCAGTTTGTTTTGGACCGAACGACACACCTTTTCAATTCTTCAACTGAACGATATGTCGTCGTTTTGTGTTCATCTGCTATGTTAATTAAACAGTACGAAATGATTTCGTTTGACTTCATTAATGGCTTTCTTTTATAAAAAAAAAATCTGAGAACTACACTGAACGTTGTCGTTTTCACAATTCATTATTCAAATCGAGCAATTGGCCCACAATCGAAATTGGCCAATTTCCAATTTAGTCCCGATTGATCAGATTAAGCCACCCTAATTCTGGTCAAGTGAAAAATTGCTCGATTACTGTCGTTATTTTCTTAGCCAATAGGTCAATTGATTTTTCAATTCTCAAACTTAGGCAAACACGATTACTTTGCTGTAATTCTTACTCTCTTTTGCCAACTTGGAACTTGGCCAATTTCCAATTTAGTATCAATTGATCAAATTAGGCCACATTAATTCTGGTGTAGTGAAAAATTGCTTGATTATTTTTGTTATTTTCTTAGCCAATTGGTCAATTGATTTTTCAATTCTCAAACTTAGGCAAATACGATTACTTTGCTGCAGTTTTTACTCTCCTTTGCCAACTTGGAAATTGGCCAATTTTCGATTTAGTACCGATTGATCAAATTAGGCCACCCTAATTCTGGTGTAGAGAAAAATTACTCGATTATTTTCGTTATTTTCTTAGCCAATTGGTCAATTGATTTTTCAATTCTCAAACTTAGGCAAATACGATTACTTTGCTGCAGTTTTTACTCTCCTTTGCCAACTTGGAAATTGGCTCTCAAAATTAGGCAAGCAAGATTACTTTACGGTAATTGTTACTCTCCTTTGCAAACTTGGAAATTGGCCAATTTTCAATTTAGTACCGATTGATCAAATTAGGCCACCCTAATTCTGGTGTAGAGAAAAATTACTCGATTATTTTCGTTATTTTCTTAGCCAATTGGTCAATTGATTTTTCAATTCTCAAATTTAGGCAAACACGATTACTTTGCGGTAGTTCTTACTCTCCTTTGCCAACTTGGAAATTGGCCAGTTTCCAATTTAGTCCGGATCAATCAAATTAGGCAACCCTAATTCTAGTCTAGTGAAAAATTATATTATATATATATACTAAAATGAAATTAGAAAATCATTGTTCACAACAACAGTGTTCTTGGTTTCTTTACCAATTATGCCCTTCCCTTTTATATGATTTGACATATTTAGCCTTATTACTTTAGCTGCTTAATAGTGTAACTACCATGTATATCCTACTCTTAGAGTTATAGACTATGACTAATTGCACGGTTCACTAATCACTAATCTAATTAGACAATCATATTTAACTTTTAATTAAAATTTTATACTTCCTCGAATGTGTTTTTAAATTAAAATAAGAATATATTATACATAATTTATTTGTATGGCTTATTAAGATAAAACTTATATTATTCAATCAATCAAGAATTAATAGAAAATTTATTCCCGGCAAGGCAAGAATATTTTTGCTTGTAAAATCCTACAACAGCTACAAGACGACGTTGTATAGCTCGTGCCACTATGAACAAACTAAGGTAACCTGGTACAAGACAACTTTTCGTTTTTATTTTCTATCTCTTACTAATTTGAAGGGGATATGGTACAAAATTTGTGTCACGACCTGAAACCACGGGCCGGAACGGCATTAGGGCCCAGATAAGCATAAGGCCTCCGAGGCCCGTAGTAAGCCTGAACCACTAAGATTCAACTATATCAATATAGGCCTCCGAGGCCCGTAGTAAGCCTGAACCACTAAGATTCAACTATATCAATATGAATTTTAAACATTCAGCCCATATTGCCATGCATAATAAATCTCATAATTATATTATACTTGGCAATATGGGCTGAATGTTTTATAATTCATATTGATATGGTTGAATTTTAGTAGTTCAGGCTTACTACGGGCCTCGGAGGCCTTATGCTTACTTGGGCCCTAATGCCGATCGGGCCCATGGTTTTGGGTCGTGACAAAGTTGGTATCAGAGCTTAGGTTAGAATTTTAGGACACAACTGCGGAATGTAAGGGTCCTATCTTGTCATTCTTAGTTTTCTTTGCCTCTTACTTTAGTGTTTCCTCCATAGTCATGGTTAGAATAAATCTTAATCACGCAAAGTGTGTGTTATTTCTTGAATTTAGAATATAAGAGGGTGAGTTTTAATAATTGTTTTTAGGGATGATAATGTTGAATATGATGAAGGTTATTGTGATCATTTTAGGATAGGTATGGAACAGGCATTTGTTTAAGTTGGGATCTACCGTAACCAACATAAGGAAAGAAACTTGTGGATTTCTTTCTTAGGGATGGTGGACACACTAAACCCTGTGAAGGGAAAACCCATACCTATTGTGTAAATCAATAGACTATAGAAAGAAGTAATTAAGGATTTGAGTGAAAGTAGCGGACAACAGGATAAAACTATCACAATACCTATAGGTGCTAAAGCAGGTACCAACCCTTAGACTTGGAAATAGAGTAATATCTGGATGTTAGTGGTTTGGCTTGATCACCCAATGTACTACTTTTCATGTGGAATCTATTCCTATCAGTGTGTAGGATAATGCCAAGATATGGATAAGATTTTCATTCGTATGGCAGGTTAATGAAAATGGATACATATAGCATTAGTAATAATAAATTTTAAGTCATCCACAAGTAAGCTATCACCAAGATGAAATAGTTATACAATTGATTGTGATTGTATTAGAGTTGCAGGAATGGGTATATTTTTATGAAAAAACCTTTAGTCTTTCTATTGCATGTTTAAGACTATAGGTTGGGAAGAGTGAACAACTTTAAGGTAATTAGGAATCTGTGTTCAAGTATTCAGCTCTGATACTAAATTTGTCACAGCTCGAAACCATGGGCCGGACCAAAACTAGGGCCTAGGTAAGCATAAGGCCCTCGAGGCCCGTAGTTATCCTGAACCACAAAAATTCAACCATTTCAATATGAATTTCAAACATTCAGCCCATATTTCCATGCATAATAAATCTCAAAATTATATTATACTTTGGCCCAAATCTAGCATCTTATACATTTTTATCATTTATAGCTCGGCCCATTATAATTACGAAACATTCATAATATGGGCTACTTGTTTCATGCATACACATAATTGAATAACTAACACATCCACTAAGTTTATCGGATACAAATCCTACAACTGCATGAGTTCTGTTTTCTCCCCCCCTTTTATAATTTTTTTTTTGACCGAGAGAGATCTTAAAACCCCGGCAAAAGGACCTCGGAAAAACTTCTTTTTGGATTTTATTATTTGAATTGTTTGTGATTTTTATTGAAAAAGTGGTTGTTAAAACCTTTTGGGAATGCGATGCGTCTTATAAAACTTTTGAGTCGCCACCCATTATTTCGGCAATGGGACCGTTTCCAATTTTATTTTATAAAAGTGACTTCATTTAACTCAATTTTTATTTAAGGCCAATTATTTGAAAAACTGGTCAGGCATACCAAGTACAATTCTAGGTAAGGGAATTAGGTACGTTGGCCCGTTGGGAACCGACGCCCGAAAAACCGGCCTCTTTTAACCTACAATTTCTAATTTATTTTATTTTAGAAAAGCCAACTTATTTAATTAAACCCAACTCGAATAAATCGAACCGAGTTCCTATGTAGAAAATTAATTAATCGTCCCAAATAGATTCATTCATTGCATTCATAACCATTCACAATCACATTCATCATCCACCCATAGCAAAAATAATTAAAAGACCCGCTCTTGCTCTATGGTTAAAGGCGGGCCACAAACCGGATTTAATAATACAATTTAAATAATGATAAATCCTAAAATCTCACAATCATAGTAAATTAATTTGTTTGATTTGATTAGAATACAATCTGCCCATTATTGGTCATTTTTTGAATTAAAATTAAACATTTATTTAATGTCATGAAATTAAAATAAAAAATATCCTGGAACCCTAGAACAGTTGCGTCACGCAGCTATTCTATGATCACGCAGCTGTTCTATTGAAGAACAGTTGCGTGACGGACTACTATTGCGTGACGGAACTACTAGTTTGCGTTGACGCATCTGTTCGTGACCTTATCAAAAATTTCCAGATTCATTGATTATTCATTAAAACATAATATTATATACGAGAATATAAAAAATGAAAATAAAAACTATGGCGCACGGAAACAATTCCGTTCACGCACGGTGTCCAGGCAAAGTACGCTCCTTTTGGACACATGACAGTTGGTCAACGCAGGTAGTAGCGTACGTGAACGCAGCTGCTTCCTGGTCCATAACTACCTTTCAAACTAATCTTTTTATGTGTTCTTTTTTATTACAGGTGTTTCACATAACCGAAATACTCAATAACAAGGCAGAATGTTACTTAATAAAGAAACCGAAACTAATCAAATACTAAGAAATAAGATATTCCCACAAATAAACAACTACCAATGAAAAGGAAGTTTAGATGGTTAACCTACCGCCTCAGATTCGAGGGGAATGCATAGGTTTAGATGTCTTTAGGAATGTAGCTCACGATCCGTGTTTGTTAACAAATTTTAACAATAAAAATTTTCTTTTCTTTCCTTTTCTCTCTTTTCCCTTTTTTATGACCTTTTTTGCTTAGTATTTTTAATCTATTATCTCTAATAGCTTGATCTTCCTCAAGGTAACTCACTGAAGTTCTTGGGGAAAACCCTAGCCAGACAAAGCCCTAGAAATCTTTCTAAGTCCAAAAATGCCAAAGTCTAGAGAAAAGTCCCGTTTAAAACACAAAAAGTTCTATTTATATGGGTAGGGCAACAGGACAGAGCTGCGTCACGCAACTAACAGCTGCGTGACGGACCCGCAAGCTGCGTGACGCAGC